AGAGTAGCTATTTCAATTTGTAAATGCCCAGTCATCTTAGACAAATAATAATTCCAACTTCAAATCAGTTGTATTTATTCAAATCATACTATGAATAATTGTATTTTTCCACTTGCATAATAATAAAAACTTGACTTTTATTATTTTATTTCTTCAGGCCAAGAACATGGAAAATTGGTAATTGCCTTGTATCACTGCTAACTATAAGGCACAGGGAGCTTTGGGCAGAAATGATAATAATATGGTTCTCAGATATGTTACTGTGTACAGACTGAACAAAAAATATATATACACTTGCTATTACATGTACATTATATCATTGGCAATAATAAGATCCAATTTTAGTTTTTAGTTACACACTGTTAACCACCAATAGATGAAAATAAATCATAAAATGTATTCAGCTCGACGTAAGACTTAAATAAATAGATACAGTTGGTTTAACTTGAATAGAAGTTTTAATTATCTATGCTGCATATATGCATATATCACCTTGCAGCTGAATCACATTACATATCTTTTTAGTTGATGTTCATATCGTCTTACGTATTTGTCAACATCAATGTGACCTTGTTCTATGTCACATTAGCCTATTCACGTTACGAATTCACTTGACTAAAGAAACATTTTGTAGGAATGTATGCTTTTATAGGTTGGACACTTGTTTGCAATATCATTGTCGGTGGAAACTGGCACTATACCTAAAGAATGACTGAACAAATAGCGGAGACGGGGTTTCAGCCGGCTGATTTAAATTATTTCTTTAAATACAGTAAAGCTTGAAATATGTCAGTTTTCCCTCTTTAGAATGTTTTTGTAAATAAGTTTTTATTGTAGTTTCCGTGGCGTATTCCCAATAAGCGTTAGAAACAAAGATATACACCCTTAATCCCGGTGCCGATAAATGTTGGGTTGTGTGGAACATGCTAACAAATCTCAGGTACGATATATGTTTGATTCTGGTTGAGAACAGCATGAGAGCAACATGATTGTTTTCATTGGAGATGAGACGCAAATATTCAAAGGGGTCAGACAAACTCTAAACCAACCGCGTTCCCTTCACTGAGTCCCTTCAAAGGAGGCCCTGTCTGTCTACCTGTGGAATAACATGCATTTGTATCTGTTAAATTTGTGTGGTAGACAGATTGATATTATTTATAAAACGTCTTACCCCAAACAAATTGCAAAAGAAACCATGAAGTTTCTGAGAGCGATATTTCGTAATTAGTGTGCTTTAATGGTGGGAGAATAAATAATTAAATTTTTCAAACACAAACTGGTCATATATAAAATAGCATTTTCTGACAAGACCAGCGATAATCTCGTAAGATATGACTTTTACTATGTCTATTAAATGGTTTTCGACGTCTCTTCAAGGTCACCGTCTTGCGCCAAAGTCGTGAAACGCACCGTCGGGGGATTTGTTGGGGCCTGTCTCCCCCAGAAAAATTTCTAGAAATTTGAAGTCGGTCTTGCCTGGCCGTGAATACGGCAACCTGAAAGTGGTCGATTTTAATGTAGACATCTGAACTCCAATCAACAAATCAATCAACCAGACTGTTGTCGTTGCATTCACATGACACCAGACGTGTCACCGATGAAACAAATATGCCTGAAACAAATGTCGCTGTTAGTGCGACCCATTTGTGACAATTTCAAGGTCCCAAATAATAGTCCTTTTTTACTATTAATAGTAATTCAATCAGTAAGTGCTATTTACCTTATAATAGTCGTCTTGGCTTTTACCCGACATTACACAAAACACCAATGGTAACTGTCGGGTGTTCTCTCCAGTCTTAATGAAGGCGTGTATGGAAAACAGCTGAGACCATGGCTTGTTCACCACCCGAAAAGTTGCATCCATATACCAAGTTTTTGCGCGTGCGAGTAGTTGCATCTGTCTATCAGTACAAAAAATGTGATGGCGCCTTTCCCCAACTTTTACTCTTTTTTGATAAAATCCCGGTGCACTATGATCGATGAAATCTTCGTCAAGCTAAAACAAAAAATAAATAAAAAAGTACATTTAAGTACATGTTAATAAATAAATAAAATTGTACATTTAATTACATGTTAATAAATTCTTATATACATGGGTATTTAATTGCATGAGTACTTACGCTTGACGACACGCCAGTGGGATCTTTTGGTCGCAGAGTCTGTCGGGTTCTTTATAGCGACCTTACAAGTGCTGCAATGGGTGGTCTGCTATGAATGGGTTCTTCTGCAGAACCGACACTGGATAAAACTCTCTCCGCTATTGAGGAACATGCCTTGGTAAAAACATTTCCTTTGGCTTCATGCTTTGCCTGTAATGATAAGATAAAACATATTAAACTACAAATATATTATTGGTTTATTCATATTTTATTTATTTATTTATATATTAAATTCATTTATTATTATAGAGTTAACTAGGTTAACTAGAGTTAATTATGCAGAATTAATATAACACAACATACACAGATGTCAATAGAATGAGACAGTGTTCAGAAAAAGGGCGGAAGAAGACTACCTGTCCTACTTGATTCTAGGACATATATATAGCATGGACCTACTTGATTCGACCAATTTAATACAAGGAAATGAATGGCATAGTTTGTGTCAAGTGAATTTAGTGAACTTTAAACCCCATTTACTCGCCCTCTCTCTACAGAGATAAATACTTTTCGTGTTACATACAATAACAATTATTGGCCATTATTAAAAAAATATATTAAAAGGAAATGAAATTCTGTTACCTGTTTTTCTTTGTGTAGTACATGCTAACATCAATGACTGGAAAAAAAAATAACGAAACTGTAGAGAAACTTCTGAATCATTGAAAGTCTAATATTAGGCCTACACATTGATGACATTGATATAAAAAAAGGCTGATTTGTTTGTTGTTGTTTTTTTCTTTTACAGAAATAAGATTACATTTCAACTAAACAACTAACACAAAAGTTAGTATCTAGCTATAGTCCATGTCTGGATATACATTTCTCCTTTTGCCCGAACGTCTATAAAAATCAAAGATGGCGGCAAATAATTGCAACCGGGTATTACTATAAAATCAAGACAGATTCTTACCTGCTGGTCCTAGTCGGGGGTTTCTTGCAATTATAAGTATTTGAACAACGGTGTAGCGCCGATTAGCTAATAATAATTAAGCACGATTTCAGAAAAATTAAGACAGATTCATTAGATTGCTGAATTAGCGGAACACTTTTAGAACACATCAAAAAAATTTTCTTTGTGGCGCAATTATATAAATAGACTTCCGGTGCAGTCAGTGGCAGTAGTTCTATTATTATATACATAGAAGCAATATATACATGCTAAATTAAATACACGGTTTTATTTTTTGTAAAAATTTACAAACCTGCGGTCTGGTATTCTATGTGACCATTATAATTTTTTTTAAAATATCACGGCTAAAGCACCCTGTTGATGCTAACTTCACTACATCTATCTAACTGAATGTCGCTGATATAATATCAAAGAAAGAATTTGTCGCAATGACTAAAGTATAGATACTTCTTCTTAGTTAGTTGTATTTTACGTCCGCTTCCACCGAAGTGATATCGCAGAGAAAAAGTATAGATAACTTGGAGAACCATTATATCAATAAGTCGATTATGAGATACACGTGGATGATCAATTAAATTTGATTGGTTACTTTTCAGTTAACCAATACTGTCCAATTTTGATTACATCAACCAATTACATTATTAAGAGTTTTACTCATTTTTTTTTGTTCATTGTACATTGAATCAATTTTCTAAAACACCAGGGTGCTGAAAATCACATGTACACTATATATTCATTTGATCTATCAGTTTATTGGGTCAATAAAAAAAGACAGACATTTTAACTTTACAGACAACTTAACATCAATTAACATTCAAGTCTGTCTGGCAATTGTCTGATTAATTGGTACTCACACCCTTCCAGTGAAGAACAGCATGTGATTTTCGAGATGTGAATTAAGCCCTTTATTACTTTTCTTAAAACTTGACAACTCCCGAATTCAGACTTTGTATGGAGTTTTTTTTTAAAAAAGAAAACAAATCTTGGAAGGTACACATTACTTGTGTTAATGATATGAAAAAAACACAAGATTTTATAAATCGACACAAGTTTGTGTTAATGCAATGCAAAACAACACATAACTTGTGTAGATTAGTTTTAACACAAGTACTTGTGTTGAGATCCAACACAAGTGTTTTTTCAGTGATTATACTGTATTTTGTATTATTGAAAAGTGTATTATATATTTTAACACTGTGACATTGGTATTGTGGAGCAATAGAAATTACAAATTGTAAAATTAAAATACGTGTTTTAAACTGATGACATGGGCCAGGAGGGCGGCGAATACTGTCTCGGGCCTCCTCGGCGCCCAGTTAGACTATACCGTATCGATTATGGCGATAAGACGGGGGGGGGGGGGGGGGGGGCGGTGTTACACAGGCCTTGAAATTACAGCATTAAACTAAATGATTATGGCTGGAATGCTGTTCCGATTTGGGAGGTTGGATGATCGAATGGTTAGCACGTGCGCGCTGTATAATAAGGCCTGTCATTGAGTCAACTGGCGTGGTTTCGAATCCCGGGTTGTACGTGACAAGGAGAAGGGTCGCCTGTCCAACCTCGTGGGTTTTCTCCGGGCCCCCCCCCTTCTAAAGACCCCTACGCGCAAGCGAATTATTGAAATAAAATTAGACCATAATGTTAGTCCCGAAATGACCTAGCTTGTGTCGAGTGGACGTCAAACCCCATTTTTTTCCCTATCTAGAGCTCTCTGTTACGATTCATATGCAACATATTTCCACATCTTATTTATTTAACACACAAAATGGCTGGCGGTGGTATATATATTAAGTCTACCTTGTTATTTATAATTTAAGCAACCAAGCGTTGCATGCCGACTATCGATCGCTGACTATTTAAAATAACTATTTTGTTTTAATGGTCCCTTTCCGGACTAAATATCTAGTCTATGTGATTATACTTACAACAGTGTCAGACAGAATTAGATAATTGTTATTGTTTAACGAAAATCCAGTTTGCATAAAATAAGATGATAAACTATACAAGTCCGTCTTGTAAAAGCTGCAGGTTTCTATATCATTTCATATGCTTTATCACAGGCAAAATGAGCTACGCCCTCCTAAAAGTAAAACCACTATGCGCAGGTGTAGGCCTATGTTTTGCTCACATATATTATCATATATTGTTCGTAATTAATGGACGTAGTCTAATATTAATATGCAAATAAAAAAGTTGAAGTTGATATTCCATGTCTAGGTTGGGGTGGAGGAGCTGATCTCGAGTGTTTTATTAATATTAGTTTTAACCAAGAAAAATCTGTTGATTATATTTGTGTGGTATACACATAGTACCATGGAAGGAGGAAGTAATGGGGATGCTCGATTGAACCTTCCGGAATTGAATTCTGTCACACCCCAAAATGGTGACAATCGAGAGAAAATGAGATTTTGGGCTAAAACGCATGCGCGGACTGCGTGAGAAAATATCACAACCAACCAACCACGACAGCTGAAACATATTATATTCATAAGGTTTAATTACGTCATGATTCTACTCACACTACCTTTGTTTTCGGGACTGGCAGAACTGTGACAGGACTGAATTCCGTGTCACTCGATTGCAATTCGGAACGTTCTGGACTGACAATCGAGCATCCCCAATGTATTTATAAAAGAACCATAACTCTTGCCAATTAAAGGGAAGATAACTCTAAAGGTGGTACTGGTGAAGAATGTAAATAAAACAACAATAAACAAACATTTCAAGGATTAGTATTACTACTGGTAAGTATCTACCGAACCGCTTGTAATTTTTAAATGGTAGGTCACATGTTCAACAGGAGAGGACGAGAAAATCTTGTCCCTGTTGATCGTAGAAAAATGCCCAGTAATTGCCCACTGGTGGGGTGTGCAATTATACTATTGTATTTTGTATTAGATTAGGCCTACTTTTGCATGGGCCATCGACTCTAAACTACCACTGGGGGAGTGATGAATGATCTTTAGAATAACTGGACTCATCTCATACATTTGACTAATAGGCCTAGAAAACAGAGAGAGAGAGAGAGAAGAGAGAAATGGGGTTTAACGTCCACTCGACACAAACTAGGTCATTTTGGGACTAACATATGGTTTAATTTTATTTACATAATTCGCTTGCACGTAGGGGTCTTTAGCAGTGGGAGGAAACCGGAGGACCCGGAGAAAATTCACGAGGTTGGACAGGCGACCCTACTCCTTGTCACGTACAACCGGGGATTCGAAACCACGCCAGTCGACTCAATGATAGACTTTATGATACAGCGCGCACACACTAACCATTCAGCCATCCAACCCCCCTAGAAAACACAGATTTATGCTACTAACTAATTTAAATTCTATCAAAATATCATGGTTTTAGAACTTACCGGTACTGGCAAGTAGTGAAGTAAGCCTACTGCTACTACTGGTACATTTTTTCTTATTTGGTTAGTAATAATAGTACGGTATATGAAATGTGATGTCTTGTGTAGTTGTACCATTACATATTATTTATTTATTACCTCCTGAGATCCTCTATACAATTTTAATATTATCTTCTAGAAGGTCTATATAAATGCATGTTGTATCATAAGGTCTGTCATCGAGTCAGCTGGTGTGGTTTTGATTCCCCGGTTGTACCTGACAAGGGGTAGGGTCGTCTGTCCAACCTCCGGGGTTTTCTCTGGGTCCTCCGGTTTTCTCCCACTGCCAAAGACCTCTACATTCAAGTGGATTATTGAAATAAAATTGAACGATGTTAGTCCTGCAATGACCTACTTTGTGTCGAGTAGACATTAAACCTTATTTCTCTCTGTCTATAGACTAGCCAATCACAGATGCAGTTAGATTTCACATAGATTGTGTTTCTCTGTAAAAATTAAAAATTTCAATGAATCTTTCCATTTAACAACCAATTAGTTAAAGGACAATATTGGTGTCAATCATTATCACTTCCGTTTTTTTTAAATCTTCAAAATGCATCTATCAATATCATAGCAATGATCTCTGTGTTAAAATTATACATGTATTTGGAACGTGTATAACCAGTTCTATCGCATATGTGATAATGACTGACACCAATATTGTTCTTTAATGTGAAGTTGCTTCTGAACTATACCAGTACATGTTTTTGTACAAATCACTTATCTTTTGTATAATTATTTCAGTTTACTGGTACATCATACGCTGAAGATAGTATGTTTTTATGTTTAGCCAAACCAATCACCCAAATAAGAGTACCAGCAATATCAGCAATAATTCTGTATATCTACTTTCTTATAAATTCAAAAACCAAAGCTGAAGAACTAGGAGTAATGGCCCAATTAACTCAAAGTAACATGAAGTTTGGTCTGGATATCCTGAAAACAATAGCTTCCAGTAAACCAACTGAAAATATTTTTGTCTCACCTTTAAGTATTCAGACTGCCATGGCCATGCTACATCTTGGTACCAGGAATAATTCTAAAGCAGAAGTAGAGAAGGTTTTATATTTTGATTTTGATTCTGTTCATGGTTCTCTAGGAGAATATTTACAAATATTGAATCAAAAACAATCATCATATGCCTTGTCTTCAGCTAATCAAGTTTTTATTAATAATAAATATAAATTTCTAGAAGAATATCTTCAGACATTACAAGCTACATACAAGGCTGAAGCTCAAACCTGTGATTTTATTAGCAATGCTGAAGGAGAGAAAGATAAAATAAATAAATGGGTGGAAGGAGAAACCAATTCTAAAATAAAAGATTTAATTCCGTCTGGTATGTTGAATCCACTGACTGCCATGGTTTTAGTTAATGCTATCTATTTTAAAGGCAACTGGGAAAATCAGTTTGAAGTTGAAGACACACAATCTGAAGAATTTTACATTGATCCCTCGTCACATGTAGATGTTCAGATGATGAAAATGAAAATGAAGTTTAAATTCGGACAGAGTGACGACCTCAGTTGTAGCATTCTTGAGTTACCTTACGTAAAGAAAGACTTGAGTATGGTTCTTTTACTGCCCCAGAAGATTGATGGTGTGGCGTCATTGGTGAATAATTTAACACCCAGTAACCTGAACAAATTAATGAAAGAAATGAAGGAAGTTAAAGTGGACATTGCTCTACCTAAATTTAAACTTGAAGCGGATTTAAACCTGAAAGAAGTTCTGATAAATCTGGGTTTATCTGATATATTTGTTGTAAGTAAAGCTGATCTGTCAGGAATTGATGGCACCAGAGAGCTGTATGTATCTGATGCCATTCACAAAGCTTTTATAGAAGTTAATGAAGAAGGTACTGAAGCTGCTGCTGCTACTGCTGTGACTATAATGAAACGATCTTTAGTAATGATACCACAATTCCGGGCCGATCATCCTTTTCTCTTCTTCATTAAAGACAACAGAAGTGATATGATTCTATTTTGGGGAAAACTACAAAAGCCAGCGGGTTCAGTTGTTAATACACCACATCAAGAACTCTGAAGTTATCATAATAGATTTACAATACAAACTTTGTTGGTGAATACTGAAAAATTAAAACACATCAGGAACTCTGAAGTTATCACAATATACTTATAATACAAAATTGTGATGGTGAATACTGAAAAATAAATTATTTATTGGTCTAGATGTGCACTTTGTAGTAAATTGAATTATCTGTGAGTTAATTTGAATAAAATTAAATAATAATTAAATAATACATATTGATGGGTAAATTAAATCTTGTTTGATATCAAATAAAATATGTCAGTAATGCTGGTTAAAATAAGAAATCAACTGGAAGAGACTCTTTTTTTTAAAGATATTGACTTGTTTGATTTATAAAAAAACCATATTAGCTATATCCACTACATATGTATTTACTGGTTTTTGTTTAAGCTTAAGTTTAGACAAGGGTTTAGATTTTAGAATACTATTAAAATTTTAATTCTGTGGTTCCTGATAATGATCATTATTAACTATATTCAAATCTAGCTGATACATTTACCAAAGGGTAAACCAGGGGGTTACGGGTATACTCTATGTTGACAGAATGTCTGACATGGTTTCACCTTGTCATTGGTGCAAGAGACAGCATCTAGTTATTCTGAAAGACCAAGCTCTCATCCATGTACAAATTAATGTGCACATAAAAGAACCTTTAATAATTGGAATTAGAAATAGGAATAGACGGTAGAGTAGCTGTTCAGGCAAACAATTTCTCATAGCACAATGCATGGTTTACTCCTGTCTTCATTAGCCCAGTTGGTGCAGAAAAGTAATAAACCCCATTTCATTTACTAAAAATATTCAGCTGTAACTAATACATGCATAATGATAACTGACTTTCAATACCTGTACAGCTTATTTTATGTTCCTGAAATTTCAGTCAACTTAACTATTGTAAATACTAGACTAATGATATTCCACGATCGTCCATGAAAGGACTGTATGGACGTGTGGCGCCCCAATACAAGTGAGAATCCACTGATTGGATGACAATGTGACAGTGGCTGTCCTTGTAATAGTCTCAAAAAGAGTCTATGCACATGCTGTCACCTGTCACTCAAAACAGCTAGCTTGTAATTCCAACATCTCGAAATCCACAGTTGTTGTAAATGACACTATTTTTATTATAATTGTTTTATTAATTTTCATCAACACACCATGGCTGGAAACCAGCCCTGCAAGTTACCTGTCCCATCCCTACACCTGCCAAACATTATAAATTCCAATACACCCTGGGGGTTGGGATGGCCTAGTGGTCTAGAGTGTCACGCTTCGACCTCTAGTTGGCCGGTCACCTCTGGCTTGCGGCTGTGGTTTCGATCCCAGGTGTGAGCGTATGTGGCTTGGAGATAGGGGCGCCTTCTCAACCTCGTGGGTTTACTCCGGGTACTCCGGTTTCCTCCCATAGCAAAGACCCCTGCGCGTGCGCTAAGATCATTAAAATGAACTTGTCTGCGATATCACCTTCGGTGGAAGCGGACGTTAAACGCTAAGAACAACGATAATTTAATCATCTGTTATTTATTTCTTGGTTTGTTTTGTTGTTTTTGTTTGAGAGGGGGTGGGTCTATGAATGAATAAAATCTGTGATGTTTATTGACCATATAATATGCATAATGCAATAGGTAAGAAAATATTGTAATATTTCTTTTTGATACATATTTGTCCACAGAATCAAGAAAAAAACACTATTTTATGTATATGTATCTATTTATATTTATGTATCTATTTTCCTATTATAAAAATAAAAATATAAGTTAGATTATTAATCATTGTCAACCTTATGATGTGAAAGGGGGTGTCCAGAATAGCTGATACATGTAGATGTAGATAGACAAGATTTTATTGTATCACTGCATCCACCATGGGGTCGCCTGTCCAACCTCGTTGGTTTTCTCCGGGCCCTCTGGTTTCCACCCACTGCTAAAGACCCCTACGCCTAAGCGAATTATTGAAATAAAATTGAACCATGTGTTAGTCCCGAAATGATCTAGTTTGTGTCAAGTGGATGTTAAACCCTCTCTCTCTCTCTCTCTCCAGAATAGCTGATAAGGTTATATTATGTGTGGTTTCATGGTCGAGAGCGAGACATTAAGTAATATATTGATACTGCACGAGGTGTTAGCCGAGTGTTGTTTCAATATATTACGCAATGTCTTTAGCTCGAGACCATTAAACAACTTAAATTACAGACACTATCCCGCACGTGCTTTTCGATGAAATACGTCACATGAGTCCAATATTTCATCTAATATAGATAATGTACGATTGGCAAGTTGCCCGAACATTATTGGAAATCAAAGGGTGACGTATCATGGCATCCACCAAGGACACCATACAAAGTTTACTTGATCATACAATTATAACATAACATCCGAGGTGAATATTAATGGATGTACAATGTTATATAACAAGTCTATAAGTATCAGGGAGCCACGGTGGCTAGGTGGTTAAGACGCTGGCTCACTAGCCTGGAGGTCGGGTGTTCGATCCCTGCATTGGCCGAGAAAGTTCATCCTGATTTTCCGACGTGGTTTCCCCTTGTCAGTGGTGCAGAACGGAGGGCCTGACAAGGACAGCTGTCTAGTCCTTCGGATGAGACGAAAAACCGAGGTCCCGTGTATACATTAGAATGCACGTAAAAGATCCCTTGGCAGTTGGAATTCGATATAAGAGTAGGCGATAGTGCCGCTGCCCGGGCAAAATTTCCCTCATAGCACACTGTATGGCCTATGCCCGTCTTCATTAGCCCAGTATAGGAGCAGAACAGTAGGACGTTAAACCCCATTTCATTTCATTTCATTTCTATAAGCATCAACAGAGATAGTCGGTATAATGAAAATCAATATCGAACTAAAACAAGAGTAGGGGTCGGGGGCGCTGTGCGAGATTCTGATGGAGATAGTCCAGGACATTAGCGGGGTATTATTCTAGACATAATATCACAATCACTATAGGCATTTGGTATAAAGGCATATATGGAAGACCAAATGGGACAATATTCATAATTCTTGTTTCTACATTCCAGTTTGAACATTTTAGACACGAACGCAACATTCTAAACTAAGGATTCTTGTTTCTACATCTGGAATTTGAACTCATTCCAGATTTTTTTTTAGATACTTTCAGAAACCAATGAATTGATTTCTTTGTCGTGTAAATAAGAATTATTTTTTAATTTTAATATTTAATGATATATAAAAGTTACCGATAAAACGCCGAAAATGAAACAAAGTCAATTTTTTGTTTAAAATGTTGATTTTGTGCATGAAATGTTGACATAAGAATGTAGAAACAAGAATCATTAGTTTAGAATGTTGCGTTCGTGTCTAAAATGCTCAAACTGGAATGTAGAAACAAGAATCATGAATATTGTCTCATTTGGTCTTCCATAGGCATATGCCGTATTTTGTTGCTTTCGTGTTGTTATAAAAGTAGTTGCGGATTATTTTGAAGGCACACGACTCAAAAAAAATCGACATGGTCAAAAAATACAATGCAAGAAAAGGTCGAACCTAGTGAAAAAGCCATGCCGAAAGGAAGAGGGTCCCTATTTCTTAAAATGAATCCAGAGTGCCGTACATGATAAGTTCATAAATAAAAGCCTTCTCAGAAAAAAAGTGCGTAGTTTGTATAAGCTTCTTATAATGTGATCCCTATCTCTGTATACTCATTCGGCAAGCCGTAAATGTCACTCAGGACTTGGTGCCCTTGTCGATATTGTTTTCCGACAGACATTGGCAGCGAAATCATCGTTTCAAGTTTTTATTTGTATCGTTTGAGACAAATTTTCGGATGAAAAGACTTCAAAGTGGTGAAGTGGTGAGGGCGATGTTGGTAGGAGTACTACAACGTTAATGACATGAAATGGGGTTTAACTTCGTACTTTTCTACCCAGACTGGGTTCACGAAGATGAGCTTACGCCATACACTGTAAATAATATTTGAGTATTTTTACCGTAAATTGACTGTATTTTAACACTGACTTGTAAATTTACACCTAAGTGATAGATTTAGATTTACAAACACCATGTAAATTTACAGAGAGTGTAAAATAACTTCGATGTAAATTTGCATAGTGCTTGTAGATAGAAAGTGAGGTAAATTCACATTCACTCTAAATTTACACAGTGGTTGTAAATTCACCTCAAAGTTATCTTACACTCACTGTAAGTTTACACTGTAAATTTACCTCAAAGTTATTTTACACTCACTGTAAATTTACGTGGTCTTTTTAAATCTAAATCTACCATTTAGGGGTACATTTACAAGTCAGTGTTAAAATACAGTGATTTTACTGGCAACTTTTTGCCAGTCATGTTACGGTAAAAATACAATTTGAAGCGTATATTACTTGAAATAATGTGTTTATCCCCACTCGGCTAAGAGGTCCTAGGTTCGATCCTGGCGAACACATAAAGTTTTGCGGACCTTTCAGCCGAGCATGCAAAACCTCATTCGATAATGGGAAGAAATTAAATAAAATGGGGTTTAACGTCTTACTGTTCTGCTTCTTACAATGGAAAGGGTGGGGGCATGACTCGAAGCAAAATGTCACACACAACCCAATGTATGGCATATCACTGTCTCCATACGCCTGTTAGGTGCATTCAGATTTTGAATAACCTATTTCTCTAAAATAGACTAATCTGATTGACATAAAAGTAAATATTTTGCACAAAATTCGATATGTGGTCGAAGGGGGATAACCGATTTGAACATTATTTGACAGTAAAAATACTATTTCAAATGGCATTTCTGTTAATATCCAGCTCACATAATGTAAAATGACATATGGTTGTATTTCTACTTTACTTTTGATGTAATCTTATATGTGGCCAAAGAGGGAATAACCGATGTGGTCACTATTTGACAGTTAATTTACAATTTGCTGTAAAAATAATAATTCTAATGGCATTTCTGTTAATATACAGTTCACATAATGTAAACTGACATAATGTGGTTGTATTTCTACATTACGTTTGATGTAATCTTACATAAGACTTGTATTCATATGCATTTAAGTTAACAAACCATGTGATATTCCAAATCGGGCACTGTATTTAAAATATATATACACTAGCAGGATACCCGGCTTCGCTCGGGGGTCATAACTCCAAAACCGGAAGTGGTAGACTAACGCCACCTGGCCTATGTTACTCCCCGGTCCGAGCTACCCCTATACCCCAAATTTCAGACTCGGGGCAGATGTAGCCGCCAACCCCGAACAGACTTCGCTCGGGGGTCATAACTCCGAAACCGGAAGTGGTAGACTAACGCCACCTGGATTATGTTACTCCCCGGTCGGAGCTACCCCTATACCCCAAATTTCAGACTCGGGGCAGACCTAGTGTAGCCGCAAACCCCGAACAGACAGACTTCGCTCGGGGGTCATAACTCCGAAACCGGAAGTGGTAGACTAACGCCACCTGGCATATGTTACTCCCCGTTCCGAGTTACCCCTATACCCCAAATTTCAGAGTCGGGACAGACCTAGTGTAACTGCCAACCCCGAACAGACAGACAGACAGAAAGACAGACAGACAAACGACAGTCACAAATATATATATAGATGTATACTTTTAAAAATTTAATAGGGATTTTTTACGTGCACGCCAATGTGTACACGGAACAGCTTTCCTTGCCCCGCCTGCATCACAGGCAAGGGGGAACCACACCGGAAAATCTGGATGAACTTCTCGACCAAAGCAGATATCGAACACTCGACCTTCCGGCTAGCGAGCCAGCGTCTTACCCACTTAGCCACCGAGAGCCCCCACCCCCCCATAAGTTGAATATAGACGAAAAAAAATGAAGTCATAAAAGGTCTATCAATGTTAAAGTTCTAAAGAGATGTACAATAACACGTTTCAAGTAAATTGTACACAAATCCCGTATTTAAACATGTTTGAATAGTAGAATTACCCATAAAACAGTTAAAATACAACATACATGTACGTTAACAAACATAGTTGTATCAATACAGGTTACCTGTAACAAAATACAGTTCTAACTTGTAAAACTACACTTTTATGGTTAATTTACCAATTGTTTACAGTAATCCTATGTTACTGCACTAATACAGTAAATTTATAGTATAAAAACATGCAGTGGTATTTTTACAGCGTTATGTTAAAAAAATTACATATTTTTCACTGTAATTTTGTGGGAAATTTTGCCCGGACAGCAGTGCTATGGTCTACTCTTATATCGAATTCCAGCTGCCAAGGGTTCTTTCGCGTGTATGCCAATGCGTACACGGGACCCCGATTTTCGTCACATTCGAACGACTAGGCACTGTCCTTGCCCCCCCCCCCACCCGTCCATCACCGCTGACAAGGTGATAAGGCGAAACTGCGCTGGAAAGTCGATAACACAATGCTATGTTTTCATATATTTACTAATTCTCGTAATGGCCAACCTTTATAATTCATGTACTAACAAAAGAGTTTCATTTGCAAAAACTGACCAGTGTTGACATTTTCATACAAATCTATAAAATTTTATTTATAAATTCATCAAACAGATTTTGCACCAGCGTCGTCCATTTATCAAACGGCATTATTCTTAATGCTTAGATTATCGAGTTTTGGGATTCTGTAATTTCCCGCAAAATAAAATCATGTGACTTATGTTGTCTTTTATAAAGAAAATGAATGGATGGTTAGCATGAAATGTTTTGTGTATCACTCTCTTCCTTTTCATCATAACCACAGCAGTAGCAGCAGCAGCTTCAGTACCTTCTTCATTAACTTCTATAAAAGCTTTGTGAATGGCATCAGATACATATAGCTCCCTGGTGCCATCAATTCCTGACAGATCAGCTTTACTTTTATTAAATATATCAGATAAACCCAGATTTATCAGAACTTCTTTCAGGTTTAAATCTGCTTCAAGTTTAAATTTAGGTAGAGCAATATCCACTTTATTTTCCTTCATTTCTTTCATTAATTTGTTCAGATTACTGGGTGTTAAATTATTCACCAATGACGCTACGCCATCAATTTGCTGGGGCAGTAAAAGAACCATACTCAAATCTTTCTTTACGTAAGGTAACTCAAGAATGCTGCAGTCGAGGTCATCACTCTGGCCGAATCTAAACTTCCTTTTCATTCTCATCATCTGAACATCTACATGTGACGAGGGATCAATGTAAAATTCTTCAGATTGTGTGTCTTCAACTTCAAACTGATTTTCCCAGTTTCCTTTAAAATAAATAGCATTAACTAAAACCATGGCCGTCAATGGATTCAACATACCAGAAGGAATTAAATCTTTTATTTTAGAATTGGTTTCTCCTTCAACCCATTTATTTATTTTCTCTTTCTCTCCTTCAGCATTGCTAATAAAATCACAGGTTTGAGCTTCAGCCTTGTATGTAGCTTGTAATGTCTGAAGATATTCTTCTAGAAATTTATATTTATTATTAATAAAAACTCGATTAGCTGAAGACAAGGCATATGATGATTGTTTTTGATTCAATATTTGTAAATATTCTCCTAGAGAACCATGAACAGAATCAAAATCAAAATATAAAACCTTCTCTACTTCTGCTTTAGAATTATTCCTGGTACCAAGATGTAGCATGGCCATGGCAGTCTGAATACTTAAAGGTGAGACAAAAATATTTTCAGTTGGTTTGCTGGAAACTATTGTCTTCAGGATATCCAGACTAAACTTTACGTTACTATGTGCCATCAGCTCCATGGTGGCAAAATTCAATCTGCTTTTTGCGTTCTTACAGCTCTATTAAATGATTTTTGTTAGTTTTTTAGTTGGTTTTTTTTTTATGTTTATTCAGCCTGAAAAAAGAATATTTTTATTATTTATTTATTCTCGGTGTAGCGAAAAGGGAAAAACAGTAATATTCTTGTCTGTAGTGTTAGATGGGATAGTTTATATTTATTAAACATAGGCTGTATATCGGAAATTACATTTGAAATTAAAAATTGTTGTTGATAGACGAAAAAAAGAATACGATTGGGTAAATTCTTAAAATCTGGAAAAAGTCCACTAAAGCCAGTCTGGTGTCCCGCTATGACTTGGTACCCGGTTTACAATCGGCTCGATATACGAAAACTGTTCTGCAACGACTCGGCTAATAAAGACGGGCATACGCTATACAGTGTGCTATGGGGGAAATTGTGCTTATACTACCTACTCTTATATCGAATTTCAACGTGTACGCCGGATCTCTGAGTTTCGTCCCACCCGAACGACTAAAACGCTCTTCATCCCATATCAGGGGTAACCACGCCGGAAAGTCACGGGGAACTTTCTCGGCCAACACCAAAACAGTGTGTCAAACCAATATAGGCCCAACCTAAATGTCAATGTGAAGTCAATGACATGTGTAGTAGGTTTTAGTTATAGTTTGATATGTGCATTAAAGATACATTATGGGAGATTCGGTAACGAGTTGGCAGTTCTCACTATAATAGTTAAAAACTAGATAATGTAAAGGCAATTTGGTGAAAATTTCATTCAAATTGATCCACTATGAACCGAGAACTAAGCGACTGAAATTCCCATAAGCCTCAGTCATCATTACTATAAAGTCAGTACGATAAACAGCATAGTCTCGATTATCCATTTAATCGTTTACTCGAGAAGGAAAGTTATGCAGTAAATCGGCTTACAATCCACTAAAGATCGCGGGCTAGCGCTGCCATCTAGAGTTGATAATTATGGCCTGGATAGGTTAATTAATGTCTAATTAATAATTTAGATAACATTTCAGGCCTAAAGGCAGATATAGCTCTTGCATAATGCATGTTTAATCATAGTCTGCAAGCAATAAAAGTTTCGATAGCCCCAGTCGGGCTATATGTGAATATAATTACACGTACAGTAATATGAATTATGATAGTAGCTATATATAGGACCTATATACCCCACCTGTGATCCTTGGAGAAATGAAAACCTACAGTTGGTTACATTGGGCGTTATCTCTGATTCGCTGACCTAGAAATTTACACATACCAATAAGGTAAATTACTCTTTATAAAATAGCCAACACTTCACTATCTTTCTATAAATAGGCCTACTACAGAGCACTCTAGTTTCTGAATTATGATTAAGTGATATTTTTATTGTAGCCTACAGGTAATTTAAAGGAGCGAAACCTCTAACTCAATATTATCCAAAATATTCGAAATTAAAAACACAAATTATAATTCAGTAGGCCCTACTACTACTAGACCAGGTCCATTTTAATCCATAATGGTTTTGTACTGTGGAAATATCGAATAGTTAAGAAAAGATTTTATTGTTTCGAGCGCCATTTGTAAAGAAATGGACTAAGCAAGAGCAAACGATTGCCGTTCAATTTAGAATGTTTATGTAGGCCTACTTCACCAAACATATGGGCCTAAATTGATTAGAAATTACAAAAAAAATAAAAAATAAAATAAAAATAAATAAATAAATGAAATGAAATGGGGTTTAACGTCCTTATGTTCTGCTCCTATACTGGGCTAATGAAGACGGCCATACGCCATACAGTGTGCTATGAGGGAAATTTTGCCCGGGCAGCGGCACTATCGCCTACTCTTATAGGCTATCGAATTCCAACTACCAAGGGATCTTTTACGTGCATTCCAATATATACACGGGACCTCGGTTTTTTGCCTCATCCAAAGGACTAGACAGCGGTCCTTGTCAGGCCCTCCGTTCTGCACCACTGACAAGGGGAAACAACGTCGGAAAATCCCGATAAACGAACAAAAAAAACCCCAAAAATAAATAAATAAATAAAACTGAATGTATATCCCTTTATATACCGAGTACACATATTTTTTAATGGTTTGTATTGGCCTTTTACACAAATTTAAAATAAAACACATCTTATAAATCAGTTGAAAGAATCCTGACAAAGTTCTGCTTTAATTAGTTTTCCCGCTAAAACGTTATCAACGACCTTGTCAGTCCTTTCTCTGCGACCTTGACATTCAACACCGCTGAGGACATAGAAAGATCAAGGAACGATGAATCGAAGCATTATACGTTTACTTGCGAAACTAGACGCAATATACATTACACCTAATATAAACGGACGTTTAAAATGCCTGCAGAGCACGACATCAGTGTCTAGAAGACAGTTTTATTCGCACGGCTGTGTTTTTCGAAGACATTTAGGTTTAGCGCAACATGAAAAAGACCTGCTACTAAATGGATTTGTCTCCCCTGGACTACTACATAACGGTAAACTCTCAAGGATATAATAATTACCAGTATTTCCTGAGTGAAAAAGGGCAAATTGATTTGCTAAAATCGACAGGATAATGAAGACCTATTTATTCGTTTTCTTGTATTTACATGTAGATTTTGTAAATCTTTCAAATAGGCTTAATACTCCGTCATGTATCTCACATGATATGTACTCATGTAGAAAAAATAGTCTATGGCTATGGCTTTGCCAAAAGAAAGAATTGGAATTAATGTCCACTGTTCACAAACCAGGTAAATTCAGGACCTATGGTGCAATTTTATTTCAATAGTTCGCATGCACGACGCACATAGGGATCTTTAGCAGGGACCTGGAGATAGGTTTACCATTCGTCCCATTTTACCAGAACAGTCACGATTTTGGGTTTTTTTTTCAGTCATTCTGGCATGATGCCTTAACATGCTTAAATGTCCCAGTTTATAAATCAGGTGGTTTTCAAATGGAAATATGGAGGGTTGAGAGATGAAGTTTCTTATCTATTGTTTATATAGAAATTGACGTATGATGTTGGATATAATTTTATTGGTTTACAGAATTTATAACACAATACAAAATACAATACATTTTAATGAACATAAAACAATCCATAAGTTGAAAATCAATATAGGCTAAAGCCTGTCAATGGTCCATTCAACAACATAAATGTATATGTTTAGTGTAACTACCATCACAAAATGGTGGAAAACAAATCTCCCAGCTTCGAGAAAAGAAGTAATTCAGGCACGGTGGAGTGGGGGGGGGGGGCTTTAGCCCCCCCATTAATTTGACCGAAAATACTCTTTTCTCCAGGTTATTGCAGCCCCTGAACCCACGCCTATAAGGACCTAGGATGGAAGCCCCCCCAATCAAGAATTGCCTCCGCCGGCCCTGTAATTTCTGTGGAGGAGGGTTGCAAATCAACCTAGTAATTTTGTGCCCTTTGTGCGCTCTGTACTGATGTTTGCTTTTGTCTGATCAGAATAACAATTGTCCCGGTTTCTTCAATGAATAATCTGGTACCCTACCTGAAGAATCTTACAAGGTTGAGCAGAAGACCCTACCCCTCGCCACATACAAGATTAAACTAAAAACAACATTACTTCTTCAACACGAAATAGGCCTACTTCAAAGAAAGTTTCTCTAATCTACACTGTCTCAAGAATTATGGAAAACATGATTTATCCTACTGATGTTAGTCAACTGCATCTTTCACTGAAGTCTCAGGGAGTAATCATATGCCTGGGATAATCCTAGCCTGGGTTGCGGATCCTTCATTTTGAAAAAATACTTACACAAAACTACGAGTCTGGCTCACATGATAAACCCATAATTAATTATCTAGACTGTTGCATGGCTTGGATATAGAGTGGATTAGACAGTGCCGACTGTATTTACATTAAAAATACTTACATGTCTTTCCATGACATTTTCCGAAAGTACTTGACGTCACTCACAGAGACTGCAGATAAAAGGCCTGAAATAGAGTTATATGTGCAGCTTTCTATTCTCATATACCCCCCTATGCGCAAGCGAATTATTGAAATAAAATTGAACCGTGTGTTAATCCTGAAATGACCCAGTTTATGTCGAATGGACGTTAAACCCCATTTCTCTCTCTCTCACTATTCTCATATTCCGGCTCGGTTCTCCCTTGTCAGTGATGCAGGACGGAGGGACTGACAAGGAAAGCTGTCTAGTCGTTAGGATGCGACGAAAAACCGAGGTCCCGTGTACACATTGGCGTGCTCGTAAAAGATCCCTGACAGTTGGAATTCGATATAAGAGTAGGCCGTAGTGCCACTGTCCGGGCAAAATTTCCCTCATAGCACACTGTATGGCGTATGCCCGTCTTCATTAGCCCAGTTCGGAGCAAAACAGTAGGACGTTAAACCCCATTTCATTTCATTTTCTATTCTCATATAAATGTGTAAACCCTTATTTTAGATTAAAAGTAATACAACATAAATTGCAGCAGCTGTCTGAAACCTGATTAAGGTAGCCATTCATAACTTCACCCAGAATCAAGTAATTTGAAAGCAATTTTCAATATATTCATTTTTCATGTACTAGTTTTGAACCATAATAGCAAGAACAGTCAGTTTCTTCTCTAAATCTCGGATAATGCATCTTTAGATAAGGTCAATGATGAACAGGTTCTAATATTTTAGGTATTATGTTCCAGAGAAGTGCGCTTTGTACTTAAAATGAACAATTACCCAATGAATGTAAGTTTGCAGAATGTGTTACTAACGAACATGAGTTTCTTCAAAGTGCCAATTTCGATGAAAGCTAAGGACGATAAATTAGATGATATTTTCCTTTATATTTTTCAGAATTGCATCAATCATGTATGCAAACGAGGAAAAGTTACTCAACAGATAATGGCCGTAATCTCAATTTTGAAGAATTTCAAGCACTTCTAAATAGCGGAGACATTCAAGTTATTGATGTGCGTGAACCAGAAGAACTGGAGACAGATGGAAAAATACCAAATGCAATCAATATTCCATGTAAGTTTAATTTATGGAAGGGTTTGATGAAAGGGAACAAAATCAACTATTGTCAGTTTGTCCTAAAATGATAGATATGCAACTAGGAAACGAGACAACACTCTAAGATTGGAATGTAGGCCGTAGCACCACTGTCCAGGCAAAATTTTCCTCATAATACACTGTATGACGTATGTCTGTCTTCATTAGCCCATTCGATGCAGAAAAGTAGGACCTTAAATATTATTCCATTTCTGTTGATGGGACAGAAACATAATACATAATAAATCATTGATAATTGGTAGTTATAAGAAGAAAAAGTGGAAATAACGATATCTGGGGAAAATTTTCCTACTGCACCTTGCAAAAAAAAGAATTATCATGTGTTTTGTTTTAATCCTGTTTCCTTCTACTGTTAGATAATGACTAAGATGGTCAAGTGAATTATTAAATGTTTCTGTTCCCTGCCTTCTCTTTGTTGTCTGAAACAAGACTCCAAAGAGTAGTAAATTATAATAGAAGATCCTGCACTGTATATTCTATTTATTGAATTCGTTCAATTCAGCATTCAAGAACAACCTTTGTTTCTAATTTAAAACAGTAGGTCAAGTAAAGAAGACATTGCTAATGGACGACGGTCTCTTTATGCAGAAGTACAAGGTTGTCAAACCACAACCCCATGATCTTAACTTAGTCTTTGTTGGACTTGGACCCATTAAGAGCAATGCTGCCATGGCTATTGCTCGTAAGATTGGCTTCAAACAGTAAGTCATTGAAAGAGCTCTTGCTTAATGTCTCTTCAACAGTAAAAAAGCAAATTTAGCAGCTTAGTTTTCACATATGCCACCATTTGATGTGAATGTATAGTGTTGCCACCCATGTCCGTTTTTCTGATAGTAAATTTCAGGGTTAATAATCTCGTCATTTACATTTGAACTTTGCAAATTTGTGAAAACAATACAGGACAAATTTCAAGATAGATTTTTTGATAAACTTGGAGAACACAATCAAATTTCAAAAATTTCATTTTGTAAATTTCAATTGCGTTTTGCAGTGTTATCAGGCTTTTACATTCAGACTTTAATGTACGAAGACTTTGCTGCTGGTGGCCGTAGTGGGTGGCCTGGCAAGCCCTCATCTATGTTTTTGTCATACATTGGTTAACACACAAAATCATCGCCTAGCACTTATACTTTAATTTATTTTGCTTGCAAATATTGATATGCTCTGCTTTCATTTTGATTTATTTTCTTTTTAAATGCCAGTAAAAGAAGTTCCCTCTGCTTTAAGTCTGCCGCCTAACAAGTTCCAGAAATTATATTCTATAGATATAAGT